AGAACTAGTTTCAGTGCTGTGACACAAGAGGGTTTGTAAGGCCCCGGTGTCCCACATCGGGAATGGAGGGGGAGTTCCTGGGCTATAAAAGGAAAAACCTGGACCCTTATATAGCATCGAGGCCTTTTCCCAAGTGGTGAAATCCCTATTAGAACTCCCGAGTTAAGCGTGCTTAGGCTGGAGTAGTTCTAGGATGGGTGACCCACTAGGAAGAATAAATCTGTGCGGATATGACCCAAAACGGACAATATTGATGAAGTGTAAAGGGTCAGGGCGTTACAGGGTTTGAATGGGTTCTTCAATGATGCATTATCTCGATCTCTAGAGCTTCAAAGCGAAGAAGAATTGGTAGAAAAAGAAGCTCTGATTCGGCCCTTGCGGGTCCTCTAAAAGATTTGAATCACCAACCTTCATAATCGAGAAGGCCCCCAAGAAACGAATCAAAAAGTACAAAACTCTATCGAGTTTGAATTTAGAGAATAGTGTTAAGAATAATTGTCATGACCCGAACCTGCCCCTATGGGTTAAGGGCATAACCGGCCAGTAATCAAGGGATTACCTACGGCCTCAAACCAAACAAGACATAACTCATCAAAGTAAAGGGGCCAAACGGAAGCAAAATTTAAAACTTTTGTCCATATAGCTGTGCTTACATGGCACATCATAACAGCCCATATATATATACATGTTAATAACCCACACCAAAGGGGTAACAACACAAAGTTCTGTACATACACAGGATCATTCAAGTCTTAGTCAGCCTAACCAAAACTTATATACAAAAGTAATCCAACGTTCTCGCCAACGTAACAAAATGTAACAAAATAGCAAAAAGGCGAAAACAAGTCTCGTGCGTGAGACGTATGGGCTGACTCTTCAAAACCTTGACTGTTTCTCACATATTTCACCGAGGCTGGGTTTGGGCGTCCCTTGGCTCACCTACATAGACATGAATGAGCGTGAACGAAAGCCCAGTGAATAATATCAAATAAAGAAGACACACGAACAATATTTGAAACAATTACATCAGACGGCCTTGGGCCCAATTCATGTTTCTATTTAATGTATCAATCAACTAAAGTTCTAGACGTATCAAACGGCCTCAGGCCCAATTAACTCATACCCGACAGCCTTTGACCTATTCATTCATGTCTAACAGCCTTTTAGCCCAATCGTTCGTATCCGACGGCCTTTGGCCCAATCGTTCAGATCCAACAGCCTTCGGCCCAATCGTTCATACCAAACTATCATTCATGTCAGACGGCCTTTGGCCCAATCATTCATATGTCAGACTATCATTCGTGTCAGACTATCATTCATTCATGTCATACGGCCTCTGGCCCATTCATTCGTGTCATACGGCCTCTGGCCCATTCATTCATGTCATACAAATATTTGTCCCCCAATTCAATGTAACAAACTTATAAGACTTATATAGAAATAAGTAATTGGACAAATAACATACTTCAGATATCTTTATTAAGATATTACTCATAGTGTTCTGCCGGTGGATTCACCCTTGAGCTCGACCCTACACATTACATAACACAGATGGGTCACAAACGATTCAATCCGTTCTTAATTCATACATCCCTCTTAGGCTTCCTTCTTATCCTTTTAATTCATTCATAATGCTCAATGTATGCCTAAGAGTACTTAGAAGTGAAAGAGAACGAAAAATGAAACACAGAACACTTTTACAAAATTTCTGAAACAGGGGTCCCCGCTCGAGCGTGGGTTCCGCTGCTCGAGCGGACCCTCATGGTCTGCAACAGTACTGGTTGCCTCATTTTTATGCTCGAGCGTGAACTCGAACGCTCGAGCTGAAGGTCACACTACAAGGCTCCCCGCTCGAGCGTGAATGTTCCCGCTCGAGCGGACATCGATGTCTACAAAAATACTAGGAGCTCGTATTTCACGCTCGAGCGGCGCTTTTCCCGCTCGAGCAGACATCATGAATTCTGGGTTTTCCAGAACTGTTCTTGAGGCTCAATTTCGACATTCAAAGGCTTTAAACACATGATTTTGGCCCAAAAACATGGAAACACATTGTATATCATGAGTATACAAGCAATATGAGGCCAATTGCTCATAATCATAATCCAACCCTCAATTCATCACAACAAAACACATAGTTTCAAAATTCAATTTCAATATTCATATGCTCAAACTCCAAAAACTCCTTGAATTATACATGCATGCTTACTTTTGACTCCAATTCCATTTTAAATGACACCATTGGTGTCTATAATCATGAAACTCAACAAAACCATGCTTGCATGTATGCTTCAATGCTCAATTTTTCATAATCAACATATTACATGCTAGTTTATGCAAATTCATGGCAATTTTATGCATGCATGAACATACCAACTTCAATTCAAGCTCTAGATGATCATCTAACTTGAGTTCACAAAATCACAACTTCAATCTTATGAAATCATAACCAATTACTCACCTAGAAGCTTAAATCTTCCAAATTATAGTTAATTCTTGAGTTTATCTTCAAGATTCCAAGCCTCTTGATCAAACCTTAGATTGTCTTCACTCTCTCTCTCTCTAAATTCGGGTCTCTCACTTCCTAGAGAGCTAAATTCAGCCAAAATGAATTAAAAGAGAGTAATTGAGTGAGCATGAGCCTTTTTATAGGCTCTCATAATCATATTTCATTAATCATTAATTAATTGAGCACTAACTCATCAATTTAATCTATTTAATCTGATCCGAATCGATTTTCAACTAAATTTCACTGTAGGCTCTAAAAATTATGCCAATCACAATGGCGTAATCAATTTCGGTTTCTGTGGCCGATAGGGCCTTCAATTAAATTCCAAAGTAGAAAGTCAGACAGATTTTCTTACGGTGAACAGATAGAAATTCAAAACCACATATATTCATATAAATGACACTTAAAATCATATCAAACACATAATCACATTCGTAATTAAGATTAATTAGCATAATACGGAACAGGGTTATCACAATAATAGTAGTAAAAATGGGTTTTCAAGGATTTTGAAGTCAGCAAAAGAGGCATTCAAATTGGGGAAGAAGCTCTGGGATGATCTTGAATCAGGGAAAGCTCAAAATGATGTGAAAAAGACTACAAATAATTGACCGAAGTGGTGCCCATATTCGATTTCATTGTCAGGGTCTGAATTCATAGACCGTGGAGGAATCATTGTTCTTCCATGTGGATTGACATTGGGTTCTCATATAATTGTTGTGGGGAAGCCAAGACAAGCTCACGTTGAGCACGACCCAAAGAGACCTTTGTTAAACGATGGTCAATATGTGATGGTTTCATAGTTTATAATGGATTGCAAGGTTTGAAGACTGTTAATGGAGAGGACCTGAAGATATCTTTGTTTTGTAATTTTTGATAGTTATAATGATCTGTTGATGTCGAGATTGTTGTTTGGCTATGGCAGCGGCAATGGAACGGCATACGACGGTGGTCGGTGGCTGTATTCAATCACACGCAAGGAAGAAGTTAAAAGGAAAAGCAAAATGTCTATTTTGTCCTTGAACACCAATCACTTGTCATTCACGTGCAAATTTTCCGTCCAATTTCTTAACTTTCGTTTTTAATAGGACCAAAATGATATATAGTTCAAAATTCAATATCAAAATCAAGCAAATTAAAATTGCAGGGACCAAAATGACACAACGTATAAATTACATGAACCATTTGCATAATCTATCCCTTTTTTTAGCAATAGTTGTGTGACTACTTGAGAGTACGTCACGTCGGTCTTGAAAGAATGAGTAAATTACATTAGTAGCTGCTTGTATTTTGCGTCTTCTATTATTATAATTTTTGTAATTTTAATTAGCTCAATTTTGATCTAAAATTTTAAATTTTGTATTAATTTAATCCAATTGGTAATACCGATTAAGATTTTTGAAGGAAAAAATAGTTATTAAGTCGGTTGAGATTAACTAACTGAGTTAAACAAGTTTACAATTTTGTTAATAAAAACGTAATACATGTCACTTATTTGCACATTTTTTTTATCAAAAAAATATCAACAATTGTAATTAATTAGACCAAATTAAAAAAATCATAAATTTAAAATTAAAATCGAATCAATAAAATTATAGAATCAAAATAATATAACAATGCAAAAGATGAGGACTAAAAATGTAACCAAAAAGAAAACAAAGAGAAGAAGAGAGAAGACACAGTGTGGGGCAGCTCTGACCCTCCTCCTCACCGGCGGCCCCTTATTCCTCCGGGATCCAAGTCATGAAGGTTGCTCAGGAGATTGTCGTTGAGTCTCACATCAGGTTCCTCTTTACTTCTCTCATTCTTATGATTCTTCTCTTACAACCATGGAAATTAGAGCATGATTTGCATTGGTTTTTTAGTTTTCTATTTCTGATTGCAAGACTGGTTTCAAATCATGTAAATACCTTGAGCGTATGTATATCACTATATCTGTATTATATGATATTCAATTCAAAATTGGTTTTTAAGTGAAAAGGAAATAAATCTGTGAGACTGGTGTGACAAGTTAAGACAGGTGTTTCCACCATCACTGGGACAAGGGTTTGTCCAACTCATGAAGCTAAAGGTCGGAGAATGCTGAAATCTGGAGGAAATCATTGGAACGCATGAGGAAGAATGAATTGATACAGTTGTACTGGGAACGAGTCTCAGCTGCACTAGTACAAGCTTGCAAAACTTGGCCAAAGTTTCTATATACAGTATTGTTGTAACTCCCTCACCATTGTCTAGTGCAGCTCAAACAACTAAAAATCCAATTCTGTGAAATAGTGGAAATGGTAGTTAAAGATGCGAAAAGAGAAGCAACAGTATCATCAATTGACAAGATTGTGTTCCTTCGCCTACATGTCATATGACTTTGTGTTCTGTTCGGCCTCACTTGTTGCTGCAAAGGTCGTTATGCTGTTGAATATCCATTGTTGGAAGAATTTTGGTCATGGTGTTAAACTGACACCCAACCTGATCAAAGTATCAGTGAAAGTTGACGGATATGGAAAAAATGATTGAAGGTCAAGCACTTTGGATGGGTGACCTCAATGCCACTGTCCAGCACATCTTTGGAGAACGTAAAGCTAGCAAAATTACTGAGCTCACAAAATCCAACTTCGATACTGTGTCATACCGTGTTTCTTTGCTGGAAATAGAGTCATCTTTGGCAATCAACAAGTTTGCAGCATTTGAATCAAGGAAGTCAATGGTGAAGGAAATTATGAAGGCTCTAGACGATGATAACATCAATGTGATCGGGGGATGTGGGATGGGAGGAGTTGGTAAGACAACTATAGTCAAAAAAGTTTGCAGACAAGCTAAAGCAGAGAAGAAATTCGATATGTTTGCAATGGTGGTCATGTCACAGACTCCGAAGTGGGCAAAGATCCAAGAGAAAATAGCCCACGAATAAAATCTGAATCTTGAAACTAGGGCCGAGTCAGAGAAGAAGATTTTGTTAGTACTGGACGATATTTGGGACAGACTTGAACTGATTGAGAAGGTCGGTATTCCTTTTGGGGAAGATCATAAGGGTTGCAAGATCTTGCTCACCTCTCGAAGCAAAGATGTCTGCAACAAAATGGATGCTCAAAAGATTTTGCCCATAGAAGTGTTAGATGAATGAGAAGCATGGATACTTTTCAGAGGGACAGCAGGTGAAATCGTTGACTCTAAGGATTTGAATGCTATCGCGAGAGAGGTGTGGAGGGAATGTGGTGGCCTGCCAATTGCCATTGTAACAGTTGGAAGAGCTCTCATGAAAAATCCAAGCAAGGACGTGTGGATTGATGCAGCTCGACAGCTACAAAATCCTGTTCGAACAAAAATCAAAGGCATGGAATCATATGTATATTCTTCTCTCGAGTTGAGTTACAATTATTTAGAAAGTGAGGAAAAGCCATGCTTCTTACTCTGCAGTTTGTTTCCAAAGGACAATGACATTCCCAAGGAAGCCTTGGTGAGATACGGAATAGGCCTTGGGTTGTTTCAAGAAGTGGACACAACAGAAGATGCTGGACATAGAGCACTTGCTATTGTGAGTACTCTCGTGTCATCTTTTATGTTATTGGAAGTGTATGGAAAAATTAAGATGCATGATGTTGTTCGATACTTTGCAATACATATTGCTTGTAAAGAAGAGAACAAGCATATCGTGAAAGCTGGTATTGGACTAACAGACTGGCCAGACAACCATACGACATTTCAAAATTACACGGGGATCTCGTTCATGGATAATCATATTTGTGAGCTTCCAAGTGGACTAGAATTCTCAAAACTGGAGATTTTATTGCTACAATGGAATTCACGAAGATTTGAAATAATGCAAATTCCTAACAATTTCTCTGAAGGAATGAAAGATCTTAAAGTCTTAGATATGAGTAGCAATAGTATGCTTTCTTTGCCTCCATCCATTCAATTGCTCACTACACTTTGAACACTCTGCCTTGATTATTGCAAGTTGGGTGATGACATATCAATAATTGGAACTAATAAAGCTCGAGATTCTTAGTCTTTATAGTTCTTGGATTAAAGAGGTCCCAGAACATTTCACCCAATTAACTCACCTTAAGTTATTTGATTTGAGATCATGTCGTGATCTCACGCGAATATCACCAGGTGTCATATCGAGTCTTCGTAAATTAGAGGAGCCGTACATGGCAAGAACTTTTGAGCATTGGGTAGTTGAAGAAGGAGAAGACAATTCAAGAACAATGCCAGCCTTACATTGTGTTTGGTTGGAGGATTTGGAAAGGGATTTGGAAAAGGAAAGAGAAAAGATAGGTGAAATGTATTTTATTTTCATTTCACTTAATTTCATATACCTTTTCTTTTTCCATTTCAAATCTCTCCCCAAATCTTCCAACCAAACACAGTATTACTAAGCTAAAATTCTTGTCTCAATTAACCAGTTTGGAACTTTCAGTCCCAAATGCCCACATGTTTCCTGATGACTTGAGATTTGAAGAGCTAGTAAGCGTTGATATAAGAACAGGCAAACGTGGCTGTGTGTGTCAAGAATCATTCGAGAAAACCTTGAGGCTCACATATGGTACGTGATTCAAGAAAACCTTGAGGCTCACATATGATACGAGATTGAGCAGGTCTAAAGGTTTTGCTAAAAAGAACAGAATTCTTACCTTAGAAGATTGCGAAGGTTTGAAGAATATCCTAGAGGACCTAGACAGTGACAGTTTTGATCAATTGAAGTCTCTGAAACTTGAAGAGTGCAACGAGACGAAATATCTCCTAGACATGATTGATGGAGCTCCAAGAGTGCTGGCACCCTTCTGCAACTTAGAAGAATTGGAGCTTTGGCATCTAGGCAATTTCAGTGAAATATGCCATGGACAACTCTCAGCTGCGTCATTTAGTTACTTGAGATCTGTCAGATTCACTTCATCTGGCCCGTTAAAACTATTATTTCCACCGTCACTGGTACAGGGGCTTGTCCACCTCCAGAGTCTGTCATGTTTTTGCAGAAATTTAGAGGAAATCTTTCCAATGCAAGAGAAAGAACAAATAGGAAAGAGTCTCAGTACAAGTACCAACTTGCAAAACTTGACTCATGTTACTGTCCACTATAGTGATAGGTTAAGAAACATTTTCTCCCTCACCATTGCTAAGGTCTAGTGCAACTCAAACAACTAGAAATAAGAATATGTGCAATGGTGGAAGCAGCAGTTGAATATGAGAAAGGAGAGGCAACAGTATTATCAATTGATAAGATTGTGTTTATAAGGTACATCTTCAAGATTTGGGCAGTCTTACTTGTTTCTTCACAGGTGGTTATGCTGTTGAATATCCATCTTTGGAACAAATGCTGATGCGTGGTTGTTGCAAAATGAAGACTTTTGGTCGTGGTGTTCTAATGACACCCAACCTGAAGAAAGTGCATGTGCGAGTTGATAGACATGGTCAAATAATTAGAAATGATAGAGGGATTTGGAAGGGTGACCTCAATGCCACTGTCCAACACATCTTCAACGAATCGGTAACTGTCGTTAACCAGATGAAGTAAGATTACATGGTATTACTACTAATTTTGTTCATGGTCAGTTAAAAAATATATATTGAAATAAGATTTTATTTGTTTCGACTTAAAATATTACACCCAAATATATTTTTCACGTAAATTGATTTTGTAAGAAAAATTATTTTCTTTTTATTTTTTAGTGTTTGGTAGATATTTGAAACAAAATTTTTTTATTGTATCCATTGGGTAGAAGCCAATAAAAACGACCCTTACCTTTAAAAGATCAATGTGCTGAAAATGTCAAGCTCGAAATCAACTTTCTAAAAATTAACTTACAAAAATTTTAATGGTAAGTTATTTTGGAAGCTATGACGAAAATATTTTACTTATTTTTTGAGAAATTTATTTATAAATCTTATTTGGAGGATTTATAACCCAATAATCGATAAAGTTTTCCTATGTTTCATTTAATCCCATCTACTTAGACTTGTATCCCAGAAAGTCTTTTTCTATAAATCCCATTTAGAGGACTTATAACTTAATAAGTCTATAAAATTTTCCTATGTTCCACTTAGTCCTGTATATTTAAACTTGTATCCTAGGAGGTCCTACTTTCCTTATTTATAATATTTTTGGAACTAATATACCATTTGTTCTATTTTTTATAGTACATTTTCTTTTTCTGTTTTGGCAATTAGGGTTTTGGGATCACTGATTTTGGAGAAATTAGTGGGATATGTTTCTTCTATGTTTTGATAGGATTTCGAAACTCTGTTTTACATGTTGGTGGTGAGAGAATATTGTATTCTTCCATTGTTGCTGTTCAAAACTCTGTGTTCTTTTATGGTTGCAGTTTGAAACTCTATGTTCTTTCATTGTTGGGGTTCGAAATTCTGTTTTCTTCCATTCAAATATCATAGAGGCAAGGTTAGCATCATTTTTGTTTTGTAACTGCATGTAGGCATGCATTTGGTAAGGATTTATATTCAATAATGTTTGGTAGGGATGTATATCCAGAATTGTCCAATAATTGATTAAAGTTGGATTCGATTTTTTATTTCAAGATCGATTGATATGATATTGTGTATTAGTGTGTGTGTGTGTGTATGCTTATTGGCCGGATATTTTAGTGAATGTGAACGTTCACATCCAATGAAATCATTATTGTGGATTATCATAAATGTGTTGCAATTGATGTTGTGATCATTACATCATTAATCAATATTAATATTCGCATTTAGGAATAGTCATACAAGCACAACACACTACAACAAAAACACATTTTAGTGATACCATACTAGTGGCATGTTCTTAAAAAATGTGACAAAAAGAATATTTGGTGGCATTTTTCAGAAAAATGTCATAGAGCCACAAACATACAAGCTTCTAATGGCATTTCAATTGAAAAAAGTGTCACTTCACTACAATAAAAATGTCACTACAATAAGTTTACACTTTAGTGACACTACACTAGTGGCATGTTTTTAAAAAATGCCACAAAAATAAAAATTGGCATTAAATGTTTTAGAAAAATGCCACAGAACCACAAACATATAAGGCTCTAGTGGCATTTCAATAAAGAAATGTCACATCAATTTTATGGCATTTTATAAAATAATGACACAAAAAATTATGTTCGTGACATTTACCAACAAACGCCACTAAACTTTAGTAGCAATGGCATTTTTTAAAAAATGTCAGGACACTAGATATTTGCAAATTACTTTTTATGGTACTTAGGTGAAAAGTGTCATAAACAAATATTTTATAGCATTTTGAGAAATGCTACTAAGCCAAAAACTTTCCAAGCTTATAATGGCATTTTTGAAAAAACAAAAAATGCCAATATATTTTCTAAATTTTTAAAATGCGGTAAATGATTAAAAATAAATAAATTAAACTCAATATACACTACAGGAAAAAGCACATTCGGTGACTAAATTTCCTGACCAAAAAGAATTTGGTCGCTGAAAGTAATCAAAAAGATGAAAATGATTTACCTATCTTTGATGAACTATTGGTTACTATAAACCTGATGGTGTTAATACATTAATCTATACCATAGTCAGACATTTCATAGGTACCGCTACTAATATTTATTCTCGCATACATGATCAACTTAGTAATCTTACTTGCCCTACATTAAGTGATTTTCGATGGTATAAAGATGTTTTTACCTCTCCAGTTATGTTAAGAGAAGATTGTACTAAGTTCTTTTGGTATCAGAGCCAAGTTATGATGCTATCTCTTGCTTACTGCTTTGCTACTTCTGTTGACTCAACTCTATTTTCTGTTTGTTAAACTGTTTCCAGTCATCTTAATTTGTCAAAATTATATCTGTGTTTTCCACTTTGTTACTAGCCACCCAATCTTTGCCCTGTCCTTGGTCAGTCGTTTGGTTAGGCAGTGTTGGATTTTAGGGGTCCTCTGAAATGGGTATGTGTAAAAGCCTAGTATGTGAAAACATGATAAATTTAGACAATGTATTAAGATTCTTGTAAAAATAGTTTAATTAAAGAAAAATGAGTCGATTATTTAGAAGTAACTCTTCAGTCAATTCTAGGTTAACAACTTTGCCATCAATATCTAATCAAAGATTAGTAATTAATGAAGAAGAATTAGAAATACAAAATGATAAACTGGATTTAAGTTGGAATATACCAAAATTATCAGTTAAAGAGATTTATAAAACTACGTTTTTACAATCTGCTTTTAATGTTAATCTACATGTTAAAACATTAGAACAAGTTTATGCTTTAGAAAAGCCTAGAGAAACCTGTCACTTATTTGATGCTAACACTATTAAACGTCATTTAAAAACTGGTCACAATTTTATTCATTTAGGATTAATTCAAGTTGGAATCAAACCATTAACTCCACAAGGCAAAAATGCTTATGTTTTATTATGTTTAAGAGATGTTCATTTTATTGATTATAATGGTAGTTTAATGGGTATGGTGGAAACTGGTCTTCGCAAAGGACCTATTCATTTTAATTGTTTTCCTGATTTCACACTCAGTCTTAGAGATCCACACATATTAGATGTATTAACTTTAAATATTCAATTAAACGGTTCATTTACTAATATGAAAAAAAAAACTCATAATATTGCTTTAATTTATCGTGCCCATTATAAATGTATTAAAACCAATTTAAATGTTCAAGCTTTACATAAAAGTCATAAGGATAAAACATTACTGATTCAGACTAGTAACAATGATACTAATATAAATATCCCTCAAATGATAGAATGGAAATATATTACTCTCCCTGATCAATGGGTTATGGTCAATGAAAATTACAAACATTATCAACAACAATCCATTAGTCAAGATGTCCAAGATATTCAACAATTTACTGACGGTTCAGTCCGTATTAAATTTAGTCATAGTCAATCTTCTGGACATAGTACTTCTAGTATACCTACTGATATTGAAACTGAAGATGAAATATTTAATACTCTTTTACTCCGAAAAAATAGTCAAATTAATCTTGGTCAACCCTTCCATAGTAAATTAAAAAGCATTGATAACTCTACAACTTTTCAAATTAGTAAACTTGTTTACTCAACTCACACACATTTACCTGAAGAAAAAACTAAATCAAATAATTCTCCTACTCAAACTGATTTCGAATTAATACCTCCAATCAATCCTCAATTAATGACAATTGGTAAATCTTTTGCCCCTGATCTTGATAAATTACATGTTGAATTTAAATCTAAAGAAAATAGGACTAAAAGACATGCTTATCGTGCTAAATATGATTCTACTCAACAATCTAAACTTACTAGAAAATGGTATGATTTTATGATTGAATATAATATGGAAATTCCTTTCTTTGAATATTTAGACAACTATTACAAAAAGGTTAATACAATCACAAAATATAAATGGAAAACTTCTCCAAATACTTATGTTAGTTCTAGTCATCCTCCATTAGCTAATATAATTATTGAACACCAAGGATCTGATGTCCCAGCCGCTCCTTTTAAGCTGCCTAGTACTGACCCTGAAATTAGAAAAGTTATTGAATAAAATAATTATACTAATCAATATTTAAAAACAATTGGTAAACAATTAGATAAAATAGAAACCAATTTAGATGATTATTCGGCTAACAATACATCTACTAAACAATTCTTAGATCAACCTTTGCTTAATCTACCTAGTAATCGTTCCAAACGAAATAATTTAGTTACCCAAGATCATACTACTGTTAAAGCCGTAGAACAATTACTTACCAAATTAACTACTTTTAAGAAAGCCTCTCCTTCTACTGAAAAAGGTCTTACTGTATTAAATCAACAACCTAGTATAGAGACTGTTTCTCATCAATCTGAAACTGATACAACTGATGGTGAAATTAATCAATTAGCTCAACAATTTCAATCCTCTAATCTGAATAAACTTCATTATCCTGAGCCCAATCCTATATCTCTTACTAAAAACTGGTATTCTAGACCTACTCCTCTTGATCTCCAATATGAAGAAACTAATCTTAATAATCGATTTTCTGTATCTGCTAAAAAATTGTACGAATGGAATATTGATGGCCTTAGTGAAGATCAAATACTTCAAAAATTAAATTATTTATCTATGGTTGCAAATAGTTATTTTAGTAACTACCCATTATCAGCTTCAATCAATACTCGTTTTTTAGAAAAGCTGCTGATATATATATATATATATATATATATATTGATTCCCTCAGTCACATGCCTCCAAGCAATGAATAGTGAAAAAAAGTCAACTTTACTATTCACTATTCATCAAAAAGTCATCATTACTATTCATCATTCATCATAATTCATCCAACCGACAAATTCAACACAGTAAAAAGCAGCCATCAACTTAGTCACTCACCGAAAGCAGCAGACAACTCCCATGTGCTCCTGATGCTCCTTTCAAGTCAGAATCATTCACTCACAAGGCTCACAGTATTCACTCGCTGAAAGCTAAACAGTATTAGTAGCCAAAAGAAAAGCTTTTTGGCGACTAAACAATTTTAGTAGCCAAAAGTCTACAATTGGCGACTAAAACTAA